TGAAATTGAAAGAGAAGCTATACTTCCAAATTCATTCCTGGAAGCAAGTATCACTCTGATTCCCAAACCAGAGAAAGATACAACCAAAAAGGAGAACTACAGACCAATCTCCTTAATGAATATAGATGCAAAAATCCTTAATAAGATACTAGCAAACAGAATACAGAGGATTATTAAGAAGATCATCCATCATGACCAAGTTGGATTTATTCCAGAGATGCAAGGATGGTTCAACATACAAAAGTCAGTGAATGTAATACATTATATTAATAAAGTCAAGGACAAAAACCATATGATCCTTTCAATAGATGCAGAAAAAGCATTTGACAAAATTCAACACCCATTCATGATAAAAACCCTGCAAAAAATTGGAATAGATGGTCTATACCTCAATTTAATAAAAGCTATTTATGAAAAACCATCAGCCAACATCATATTGAATGGCCAAAAACTGAAAACCTTCATGTTAAAATCAGGAGCAAGACAAAGATGCCCACTATCACCACTTCTCTTCAATATAGTTCTGGAAACATTAGCCACAGCAATTAGACAAGAGAAAGAAATTAAAGCAATAAAGATAGGAAAGAAAGAAGTTAAACTATCATTATTTGCTGATGATATGATACTCTACATTGAAGATCCAAAAAACTCCACCAAAAAACTTCTAGACTTAATTGACAGATTCAGTAAAGTATCTGGATACAAGGTGAATACCGAAAAATCAATAGCCTTTCTATACACAAATAACAGACAGACAGAAAGAGAAATAAGGGAAAAAATTCCTTTTACAATAGCATCCAAAAAAATGAAGTATCTAGGAATCAATCTAACAAAAGAAACAAAAGATCTCTACACTGAAAACTACAGCACTCCGAAAAAAGAAATCGAAGAGGATATAAAAAAATGGAAAGATATCCCCTGCTCCTGGGTAGGAAGAATCAACATAGTGAAAATGGCCATACTACCAAAACTGCTATATACATTCAATGCAATGCCAATTGAAATTCCAACACTATATTTCACAGAACTAGAAAAAAGAATTCAAAAATTCATTTGGAACCACAAGAGACCTAGAATAGCAAAAGCCATTATAGGCAACAGTCACATGGCACCAGGTGTAACAATTCCCAATTTGAAACTATACTACAAAGCCACTGTGATAAAAACAGCATGGTACTGGCAAAGAAATAGGCCTGAGGATCAATGGAACAGACTGGAAGACACAAAAACAAATGCAGATGTACTCAGCTACCTCATCTTCGACAAAGGAGCTCACCATCCTCACTGAAGGAAAGATAGCCTCTTTAATAAATGGTGTTGGAAAAACTGGATATCAACCTGCCACAGATTAAAATTAGACCCTTATCTTTCGCCATGCACTAAATTAAAATCCAAATGGATTAAAGATCTAAATATTAAAACAGAAACATTAAACTTGCTGGAAAGTGTGACTTATTCTTAAGTGTATTAACTTCAATAAGTTTCATGAAATGCAAGTCAGAATATATAGCCTGGCAAATTTATTACTTAGGAAAAATTGTTGTAATGAATTTTACATTTAAAGAAGAAAAAATATATCAATAAATACACGGGGTTCAGGGTGTACCCAGTGATAGAGCACTTGCTTGGCATGCATGAGGTCCTACGTTCAATCCCTAGTGATACCCTCCACCAAAAAAAAGAAACAAAACCATCTCTGCATGCTCTTCCTGGTAACTGCTTAGACTCATATTGGCACAGTCCTTTCTCCAGGCCAGGATAGCAAAACAGCTTGTTCTGAAAGATAAGGACCTTTGGCGCAGATCCCTTCTCAAGTGATAGCTTTCTCTTTTCAGGTGAGGTAACGTGCACTAAAAGCTGTGGGAAGAGTACTCTATTTAAATTGTAATAATAATGACATCATTCCAGGTTCTTCCTGAAGCTTTCTACAGCTCAAAGGCAGCAAAGTGTCTCAGGTCATGGACCACTGCAATGACTGAGGTAATGAAGGATTCTTGGATACAGCACCAGATGGTTTGTTAAATCATACAGAGAGTCATGTCAGAAACCTAGACATAAGAAGGCATAAGCTTCTCAGACAGAGAGAGAACAATCAAGAGTCCAAAGGAAATCAAACTGTGAACTCTCTCTCAATAGTGTTGTGGGGAAGGATCAAAACTCAGTATGTATGGGTAATACCTAAACTTCCTGGGCTGAGCCTCTATTTATTTCATTCTTCTATGTGTTTTCCCATCTAGATTCTCAACCCAGACAAAGAGGAGACCAGAAAGCAGAGTGAGAAATTCTGTTCAACTGCAGGTTCTTACGCTCAAAGAAGTTTGAAAGCCTGTCTTTGTTAGAAGTACAATCTGCATCTTCTTTACAACACAGTTCCACTTGGGATAGTTTTCTTTCTACCTTGCCAAATGACATTAATCCAGAAAACTGCATTTTCTTATTATTCTCTTGGGCAGACAGATTGTAGGTGTGCTTTGGCATTTTGGAATAGTAACCCTCATTATTTTCTCAGTTGTTATCCACAAACTTTGACATCTTTCTGTCAGTAGCATTATCCATGTAATTCGTCAAAGTCTCAGCTCCAACATAAACTCCTCAAACACACCTCACTTGTAAAGTATCCTCAGCGGTTTTCTTCTGTTGTATCCCTTCGAGTTAACTTCCAACTGACAACCAAGTTTTTTTCTGTTCTTTCTTTTCTCAAATCATTAATCTTCACTGAAAAGCTGTTCAAATGTCTTCCAACAGCTTCAGAGGCAAAGCCTTTCACTGGCACTTGTAGCCCTCATAAATATTATTGGAATTGTTCATGAACATAAGGGAGAGATTTTTAACCCCAAAGACAATGAAAGTAACTCCAGCAGCCTCATTCTGAATTAGTATAAGTTGTACAACCTAACACAAGAGAGAATGCATGCAGGAAATTAGCAACTGAAAGGGCAAACAGGTGTTCCTTGAATACTCTGTTTCTAAGAAGCAATGTCATACTTTATTGTGTAGTATTGTGTATTATTATTATTTTCTTGTCACTTCTAGGAAATTACAAACCTTCTACAAACAAGGTCTTTGTATTATTCACAAACTATGTGGTGATAAACATTCAGAAGATATGTGATGAATAAATGAATAGATGAGTGAGTAAATGGGTAGATAGATGGGTGTATAAATGAATACTTTGTGAAATAAAACTTAAATTATTAACATGTTAAAGTAGGGAGATAGATCTTTCTCAAGTGGAAGGGGATCAAGAGATAGGGAAAGGAAGAGGGGATTGAAAAAGGGATTAAAATGTGTTATGTATATGCACCAATTCCACATGAGGAATGTAAACATGATATACTGCAAACAAGCACTAATAAAAAAATGAAAAATAAATGGCAGCATTAGGGGGGAAAGCCCTGGGAAAAACATACTCCCAAAATCAAGATCAGCAAAATATTCTGAGTCTTTTAGAAAAGAATTATCGGCAGGCATGGTGGGAGCATGCCTGTAGCCCTAGCTACTCAGAAGTGGGGGTGAAAGGATCTCTAGGAATTCAAGGCCAGCCTGGGTAACATGACAAAACAGGGAGCAGGGGAGGAGAGAAGCAGAGGGAAACAGGGAGCCCAAGAGAAAGAGAAGGACAAAGAAAGAGACAGAGTGATAGAGAGATATGTGTTTATTCTTCACCCACATAATATTTTTAGTGTTTTAAAGATTTAAACCATCACTGTGGGTTTTTTTAAATATTGAATTTAATTGTCTAGGCATAAACTTGAGCCTTAGAAACATTTTCTAAATAAATATTTCCTATAGATGTTAGTGAGGAAAGGTTATGACAGGGGAAAAAAACATTTTTAGCAAATTGGTTTAAAAAGAAGCTACAATAAACTCCTTAAAATGATACCTACATTAATGCTCAGTACATTTACATAAAAACTAGGGAACAGATAAAATTTTTGTGATGGAGATATTATGAATTTAGATCTGTGGAATTAGGCTTACCACATTTGCATAATCTAGTGAGAATCATTTTCTACCAGAGAGAATGTTGGAATATTTCTTCTGTTTAATTATTTCAGTTTTACTCTGGGAAGGTTGGCCAAGTGAGCTTGCTGGCCTGTGATGGTTCTCTATAAACTTACAACAGTGATAAACAGCTCAGAGTACTTCTTAAATCCTTATGCAAATCCCTGCTTTTTCATCAGACATAGGGACTGTTTGACAGGGAATTTAAAAGAACTTTGATTAATATGTTAAAGGTTCTAATAGAAAGGTAGAAGACATCCAAGATCAGAGAAGTAATTTCATCAAAGAGATGATAGAAATAAGTAAATCAGTAAAGATAAAACATTCAACATCTCATTAATAGTCTACACACAGCTGTAGAAAGAATAAGTAGATTTGAACAAAGGTCAATAGCAATTACTCAAACTGAAATCCAACAAGAAAAAAAAAAAAGAACAAAAGATTTAAAATGAAGAGACCATCCAAAAGCTGGGAGACAATGTTCTAGAGGACAATGAAGATAGAAAGGGGTGAAAAATACATTTGAAGAAATAAAACTAAAAGTTTTCCAAAATTAAAAACAACCAGAAAAAACATTCAATCTCAGATAACATCAAACATGATAAATAATGTTTTAAAAACTATAAATGCCATATGCAAACTACTGAAAACAAAGACAGTGAGAAACTCTTGAAAGACAATCAGATATAAAAGAAATAAAGATAAAATTACAGCAGAAAGGGGGAAAGAAGGAGTTGTAGAAGTAAAGATATGTGTTATATACATACACATATATAAATAAATTCTTTTTTTCATTGTCGTTAAGAGTAGGAAGAATTTATTGAGGGAAAGACAGTTCCTGCCTGAGGGACAGAAGGGGGTACCCCATACATAACAACTCTTCATAATGAATGTAATCATTATGTACTACAAATATGTATTAATATAAAAATTAAAAATTTTTAAAATTATAGCAGACTTCTTATTAGGAACATCTAAGCCACAGGACAATGCCATTAAATTAGTGAAATAAAAAGCTATCAGCCTAACAGTTCATAATAGCTAAAACTTGGAACCAGCCCAATTGCCCATCAGTTGGAGACTGGATAAAGAAGATGTGTGTTTTTCTATAAAATGGAGTCCTACTCAGCCATAAAGAATAAGAAATCAGAGTCATTCATAGGGAAATGGATACATATTGAGGATATACTTCTAAGTGAAATAAATAAGTCACACACGTGTAAATACCGAATAGTTTCTCTGTTGTGAAAAACTAAAAGTGTAAATAAGATCCAAATGGTATAATTGACAATGTGAAATAGGAAGAAAGGGGCTAAAGGTGTAGGAGAAGTGGGAAGAGTAGGAGAAAGGAAAGAAGGGAAAAGAAAAAATATGAGAAAATGAAAATATGGAAACAAAGATTTTGTAAATAGGGAAGGGAGGAGGAGGCAAAGGGAGGGCAGGGGTATGGGGAAAAAATGAGAACCAAGACCTGTCATGCAAAGGTACAAGATCCCAATGATGAATGTAATTATACTGTATACCTACAAAGTGCCAATAAACTCAATGAAAATAAAAAAGCTGTCAGCCTAGAATTTTACATCTACCAAAAATATCTTTAAAAAAAGAAGCAAAACAAAGACTTTTCAGACAAAATTTGAGGAAATTTATTTTCAGAAGACCCACTGTTAATGTTGAATATTTTCAGGCAGAAATAATATGACATATCGAAAACTGGATTTAGGAGGGAGGAGGGGGTGAAGGGAGGGCAGGGATAAGGGGAATAAATGAGAACCAAGACCTGTCATGTAGAGGTACAAGATCCCAACAATGAATGCAACTGTACTGTATCCCTAGAATGTACCAATAAATTAAATTATTTAATAAAAAAACTGGATTTACAAAAATACAGGAAATAGAAGAGATGAAGGTAAAATTAATCTTTTTATTTTTCATAGATCAAAGGCAAAAATAATAGCAATAGTATTATAGGTTTATAGAATATGAAAAAATAAAAGGTATGACAATACTACAAAAAACACGAAATACAAATTGAGGACACACATTTGCAATGTCTTTACATTATATGTGAAGCAATATAAATTCATTTTGAAGACAGATTTCATTAGTTAAATGTGTGTATCATAAGTCCCAAGTTATCTATTAAAACAAATTTTCTAAGTTGGCAGAGGAGACAAAATAGAATCAAGAAAAATGTTCTAGACAAAAAAAGGAGCTAGAAAGCAAAAAACAGATGGGAGAAATGGAAAAGAACTAGCAGATGGTAGATTTTAATTCAACTATATCAATAATTACATTAAATATGAGTGATTTAGGGCGGGGATTTAGCTCAGTGGTTGGTTCCGCCGCCTGCCTTGAAAGCACAAGGACCTGAGTTCGATCCCTGGTAAAAAAAAAAAAAAAAGAGTGATTCAAAGAGGAAAATTAAGATAACAATATTCAGAATAGACAAAAAAGTGAAACCAAAATATGCTATCTAAAGTAAATCTAGTTTAAATTGAAAGACATAAATGAAAAGAATAAAGAAAATCTATAAAAAAAATATACAAATGAAAATTGGAGTTACTATTTTAATATCTTCAGAAAAAGAATAATATTGAAGATAAAGAAGGAAATATGTAATGATAAATGCCAACCCTCCAAGAATACATTACAACTTATATACATCTAAAAACAGAGCTTTAAATATATAAGCCAAAAACTCATGGAATTGGGTGATGTCAGCAAAACAACAAAATAGGAAGGCTCAGTCCTTCTCCCTTGCAGAAAGTTCAACTGACAACTTTCCACAAACAAGAACCACTTTCACAAAAGTTTACTACTCAGCAGTAAGCCTAAAACAACCCCATGGTCTTCAGAACTGAATGAAAATTGAAATAGAAGAACGGTCTTACTTCAACCTCACTGCTCTTCTTCCTCACCCAAGTCAAAACAATGCTAGATGGAAAAGATTTCTTTGGGCCCGTGGTGCTATAGAGAAACAAAAACCAGAGGCAGTCATCTAGCTCCCTAGTGTTCTGAAAGACTTCCCAGGAAGCTTATTTTAGTCATGGAGGACACTGAAAATAACAGCATAGCAAAGACTTCCTGGGGTCAGGTAGAAACAAGGAAAACAGGTAGAGGTCAGAGTTATTAGTGAGTTTATCTGGTGGTACATCTACGTTCCTGCCAGGTGGGGCATGTAATCAGATACAATGGTCAAACTTCATAGTCTATCTGCAAAGCTGGACTGGTTACCTTCATAAAGAGCTGAAAG